GCTGGTATTCTCTGTCTTTTTAGATTCCTATTAACATGCACCAATTCTAGCAAATGGGAAATTTTCTCTCTATTCCTGCTTGGTCAGTAGCTCTTCTGTGGAAATACAGATACCTACTGTAGCTTCCCAAAGTCTGATATATTGATCCTACTCTCTTAAGATTTCCTGCTCTCACAGAAATTTATTACAAAGACACATCAAGACATCTTCCAGAGCTGGCTGGTATAGCCAACACATTTAGTAAACCAGTCAAACAAAAGGTTTTAGCATACCAAGGGCTAAGCCAAGCCACTGACTACAGAACTGTTTTCTTTCGATAAGGCACAGAAACTGAAATTCCCTGCTGAAGTAGTCTGCAGTTACCACTCAGCCATTTTTTAATAAACCAGACTGAACTTCTATATCTAAATACAGGAAAGATATTGATAAATGAATGTAATCTAAGCAATAATACCAACTTTAAAAAATAAAAATTAAAAAAAAAAAAAAGAGAAAGATTGATGGCTTTTGGAAACAGCCCTGTATATTAATTTTGCTTTGCCATTTCTAAAAGAATCTGCAACGCAGATGTTCAGCATCACTTGCTAGATCCTTTACATGTTTGCATGAGCAGGAGTTTGATCATCATCACTACCAACTCTCAAGAGGTCATTTACGAGTATACACAGTAAAATGATGAAATCAGGACGTGACAATTGTTCTCTCTCCCATTCAGGTTACATGCCCCGATCTTAAGTCACTGCTTTCCCCCTTCTTCAGAGGTTTATATTTTTTGCATATATTCTTTCTGATAGCAGCTTCATGTTATGTCCCTTTTCCAGTAACAGGAAATTGCTGGAAGTGTCCAGCTTGTTTATACAAGATTCCTTAAGGCATTGAACTTTATGTATAAACAAAAATGTACACTCTACCACAACTGGACAAATAATTGATAGCAGCCCCAAATACTTCAGCTATTTTATTAAAACTTAATCTTAACAAAATACCCTCAGGCATATACCATCATAAGATTTAGATGGATAAAGTCTTGAAATGTCTATTCAATCAACCTGTTATAATGCCTTTGACTGAACATCACATCCAAAATCCAAGCCACTCCCTTCCCTCTTAACAGATCTTGTTTTTTTCAGGTTGTAAAGAAAAAGCAGCGTACAAGAATGGTGGAATTTTTCATTGATGTGGCAAGAGAATGCTTCAATATTGGAAACTTCAATTCAATGATGGCTATTATCTGTGAGTATCCTTAACACAGACGGCAAAAGGCACTCCATTTTACAACCTGACTAGCAAGACTATGCTCATACTTGCCCTGACTTGGCTGACCACATACATCAGCACACACACTTCTACACAGGCAGTACGTACCAGGGACAGATTAACGTGTGGGTGGGTTAGTTACAATTTATGTTTGTCCTGTGGTTTTTTTCAACTTGGTTGTTTCTTTCTTTGTCTCTTCTCTCTCCATTTAGCTGGCATGAACTTGAGTCCCGTGGCACGGCTAAAGAAAACTTGGTCTAAGGTCAAAACAGCCAAATTTGATGTTTTAGAGGTATGTATAAAGTTTAGACTTTATATAGAAATCCACCAAATAGTTTCATGCAAACCTCTGCTTGTGGAATTACTAAGTCAGAGGTCACAGAGGCACCTCTGTCAGTGGTCACCAGCATATAAGCATTAGAGAGAGCACTTCCTGAATTTCAAACTCCCTACTTGCCTGCAAAGAGAAGTGCATGCAAGTTTTCTTTAGGTCATTTCTCCCTAGCATATATTTTCCAATTTAACATCAAGGTAGTTTTCACTCAAGTGAATGCCATTTTGCTACCCTTAAAACTAATTGGAGTACTCCATCTAGTGGAGATCTGAATGAAAATGAAACTTCATTGAAATCGTCATCAGACAAAGGTTGGTGACAGCAAGTTAGAATTCTCTTTTTTTCCAATAGTCATTTAGAATTTCCTTTCAGTCTCCCAATAATCACTGAAGCAAAGCATAGATGTAAAGTCAGTACAGAACCCTTCTTTCAAACAAGACAGAAATTAGAAAAACCTGAATCCAGACGTGATCTGTGTAAGATACATTAAAGTTTAAAAAGGGGCATGATGAATTCATAAATAATGAACTCTGATGGTTAGATCAAAGCTTTTTATGTTTAGGAAACATGTATTACTTGACTGCCTTTTCCCCCTCCCATAAACACAGCATCACATGGATCCATCCAGCAACTTTTGTAATTACCGCACAGCCCTGCAAGGAGCAGCACAGCGATCTCAGACTGCCAACAGCAATCGAGAGAAAATAGTCATCCCAGTTTTCAACCTGTTTATTAAAGATATCTACTTTCTGCACAAAATACATACGAACCGCTTGCCCAATGGGCAGATAAACTTCAAGGTAGGACTTTGCTGTTATAGAAACTGTCATGCCAGTTAACATTATACATTACAAACATTTGCCACTTTTGAACTTCTAGCTCATTATATTACCAACTTGTTCAGCATTGCTGTGATCTAGACATAAAGCAACATCATTATCCAGGGGAAATTATTTCACCAAATTTCTGTGAAAGCTAGCACTTGCAGTTGCCGTGTTTATATTACATATCCAGCAGATCCACAATTGCATATACAGAAGAGAATCCATAAAACTGCTGGAATGTAATTGCCTTCAGTTAAAAGATTAGTTTTAAAATGTACTGAAGTAGAGATTATTTTTTGTTAGTTTTACATGAAATGGGACAGATACACTGCAAAACATAATATTCACATAAGCAGAACTGATTGGAGTAACATTAATTTGTTATCAAAACTGATGCATGAAAAGATTGAGAAGAAAATAAGAACTTCAGAAGCCAAACCTCTCAGCATTAAAAATTACTTAAGTAATGCAGGAATAGTCTAATATTAGCTACCTGGAAAGGGAAATATCTTCAAGGAACCTTGTACTCATAGAACATTTAAAATAAAGAACTTGAAATCAATAAATGAAATAATTTTAGTATACCATGTATAATGGCAGACAAAAGTTTGACACTCCTCAGCCCTGCTGATGTTCAAAAGGGATTGGGGGAAGCGGAAGGCAATACAGAATGGAAAGGATCTGATCAAGTTGTAATAGGTAACTTCATTCTACACCATCAACATTATCTGATTTAACCTCATCATTTTACCTAGCTATAAACACTACAGACAACCAGCAAATGGTATTTAGCAGGTCTTCAAGGGAGCTTCTACAGCTTCAGGATTCTCTCCCTGACTAATAAACATACATGTCCAAAAGACCACAGCCTGTAAAAAGTACTTTAGAAGTTTTTTGCCATTATTAAGGCTGTGTAGGGGGATGGGGACACACAGAATACAAGCCAAATCCCAAGTAATTATGCATTTATTAAAAACCTAGGAAGGAAAGGATAGCTAGTTTCTGTATGTTATTTTGATTATTTCTTAAACTTAAAAAGTGCTTTGTGAAAGAGATCAGATATGTCATAGTTCATTTAAGTTGAAGGTTGGAAATGTAAAAAGTAAAGCAAGTAAATAAAAACATTTACTGACCAGTTCCACTTGCAGGCTAATTTAGAGATAGGACACATAAAACAGGCCAATAGCTCTTTATCATATATGAAGAAAACGTTGATGATTTAAAAGTTTGAATGCAAAAGACCAGGCAGTTAGCAGGGATACTCTTGAGAGGCTAACAACAGATGAGGAACTAGGAGCAAGAGGGTAGATGAAGGGAGTAGTAAGAAGAAAGGTTAACAATGAACAAGACCGCGTAAGTGATAATAAGAGAAGCAGCATGAATAAGAACAAGGCTGAGGGGCTCTGAAATGGAAACGAACTAATATTTGAAAGAAAACAAATATGATTTTAATAATATTATTTTCATTACCTCATGCAGAAATTCTGGGAAATTTCAAGACAGATTCATGATTTCCTAACATGGAAGCAGGTTGAGTGCCCTTTTGAAAAAGACAAGAAGATCCAGAGCTATCTACTCACAGCACCTATTTATAGTGAAGAAGGTAAAATCCTTTATTGAACATTACAGAAAGTCTTCCTACTTGGTAAAATGCAGACAGCATATGCAGGTGAAAAAAATTAACATGCAAAAAAATGATAAGTATGTATTATCACTTCTGCATTGGCTTCTGATGAGATTAAACTTCATTATGAAGTCTGCTAAGTCACACCTGCTATGTTGTAACTTCTTTTTTTTTCAGTTAAAGAACCCATGTATCTGATTTTTGTTATTTTATTTACTAGCTCTGTTCATTGCATCCTTTGAAAGTGAAGGTCCAGAAAATCACATGGAAAAAGACAGCTGGAAAACACTCAGGTATGAAGCTTCCTCAGAACATGAGTCTTTTTGTAGACCTACACAGGCATGTGATTATCAGTTTCCTCCCTCCTATTTGCATACCTAAATTAAGACTATTTTGGCCCACATATTATTTTTTCTTCAGAATTCAGATCTGAAGAAATTCAATAGGGCTTGGATTTTGATACAGCTTTTCTAGCCAGATCATTTCAGGTTGCAAGATCACTGCTGGGACTATGAAAGAGAATATGCTGTGTTTAGGCTATCAAATACAGTAAAAGAATCTACATATGTAGCGGTTTTCAGACATGCTTTTCTCAGGGGAAAAAATTTTTAAAGATAGGAAGAAAGTGCTATCATTTATCATACCTATGCACTTCCAAATCTTACAAAAGGATTAAATTTTATACAAGTACTGTAATTTTCAGCCTACTCTTAAGGGAGAAAGTCTCAATGACAACTCCTCCCTCTTTGAGAGGGGGAAGCACTTCTTCCATATACATGATGCGAGATCAGTTAATTTAGATGAGATTTCTTCTAATAATGAGGCCAAGGCAGAAAGGGAGATATAAACCTTTGTAAATCATGTTAAATATTTAGATTTGATATATCTGTACCAGATGAATGAATGAAGTCGATATGTCCTGAGCTGCACTTTGTGTTGTCCTGGATGAGACACTGTTTCCCACTATCTCCATGTTTCTTAGGAAGTCTGCATAAGCTTTTCACTTATGACACCCATGCAACATACCTTGCATTAAATCCAATGCTGTTTAGCAAGCAGAAGTTTAGGATGACAGAACAATGTGTGTTATTTGCCTAAGCGCATCGTAAGGGCTTGAAGTAATATGAAAATTAAATTTTCATTTAATTTAACGTCAGCGTCTTTACTGGAATTCACAGATGTATTCCAGCAAATAATGCAAGATAGATCTATTGCCAACCTTTACCAAAACTGTAAAACTTTTTGTCGTGGTAGAAAAAGAGAATTTTTTTTTTTACTACTTCTTCTTCTAGGACAACTCTACTTAACAGAGCCTGAGATTTTTGGATCTGATCTGCAGACTTTGAAGCACATCAAATGGACGTGTTTTTACAACCTGAAAGACATGGACTGAGCTAAGACAGACCTCACTGGCTGAGGTCTCTTTTGTATATACAGTAACTTTTATGAAATAAAATGTGGTAAATATTTCACATGTCAACCTTAAGGCACTTAAGTGAAGGGTTTTGTTTTTTTATTTTAAATATAAGGGCAGGGCCCTGTTCTCAGAGATGAAATGTATCATGGGAGATGGTATCCCTGGGGAGATCTTATTCTATCAGCATCCAAATTTTTATTTTTTTATTACTTCCACCAAAATAAATAAAAATTAAAACACACATCCCAAATAAAGCCAGTGTTCAGGTTAAATACTCCACTGGACCAGTATCCTACAGAACACTCAACATGTTTCTCCAGCCTTGAAGTGAAAGTTCTCCTTCAAATTGGCGATACCGTTCACATCTGTCAGTAAGTGTTTGTAGAGTCAAGGCCTTAGACATCTGCTGTAAGCATGTTCCCCTCCTACATCAGAAAATAGTGCCTTACAAGGTACTGATATTGTTTAGTGTACCTTCTATTATGCCGGACTGGAAGTAAAGAAAATAAAAATATGGATGACTCAAAACCAGCTATGATGTACTTTTTACATAAAGTGGAGAATATGGCACATGAAGTAGAGTATACCTGCCTATAACATTGATGGTGCAGCAAACATATTTTTGTTACATGATTTAAAGAGGTAAGATGGGGTAACTGCTGGGGGATGCGCATTTGTGTGTATGTGTGCGTGCATGTGTGAAGATGCACATATGTCTAAGTTTTAATACTTCGGGGAACTATCCTTTAAATTGTGGCTGTCAGAATAGTTTCTGTTTTCCTTTTTAAAAATCAGGGATTTTTTTTGTTTGGTTTAAGAGAAGGATGTCTAACCTAGATTATCTCTGCAAAACAGGCTCAATATGGTTTTTTTAAAAAATAGTTTTTGGAAAATAAAAATCATACATGAGCTAGGGAGACAGAATTAAACTCAGATGTTCAATTTGAGGTTAAGGCTAAAATTTCCAAAGAAGCTTAAGAGTTCATCAACACTGAACTGGGCATTTAATTCCCTTGTTTCATCTGAAAATTATAGTCTGCACTTACAACTAAAGCAAAGACTGACTTACGATATAGGCTTCTTCTAGTATTTTACAAGCTGTGATCAATTGGTCCAGAACCCATTGAAATATAAAGGGAAAATACCATAGAAATTGGTCAAACCTTTGGAACCAGGTCAATACCAAAATTAGGGATGATGTCTAAAACCGCTCATGCTTACCATTTCTAATTTCTCCTCTTAACCTTGAGTTTACAGCTAATTTGGCTATCCAAACGAGCACCTGATAAGCCTAAGATTTAAGGTATTCATTTTGAGGAAAAAATATGCAGTTCAGGACTTAACTTCTCATGTCATCTTTGAATTAAGAAAAAAAATAGATCCATTGAAAACTATTTTTTTTAATGAACAAATTATTATTCATTAATATCTACTGTCCTTTACAGTAATTGTTCTCTTAAGGCTTGAGGGATGGATATTTCTAAAGGTAATGACTTGAGCCAGACAATTTGCGATTTTTATTTAAGGCAAGGCCTGATAGAGTTGACAGTGGTTGCAGCCTCCCTCATAGAGCCTCACAGAGGACCTCTGCACAAGTTTCTTTAAAAATTATCAACTCTAAGTAGATGGGTTTTATCTTATTCTGCCTTCTGTTGAAGAAGGGGCAAGACTTGCTGGACTGAGGGTCTGCTTTATTCCAGTCCAATAGACTCTTTTTACTGAGTGCCTACAACAAAGAGCAGTGCCATTGTTTCTGCAATCACTTAGTAGAAATTATTTGCTGTATTGGCCCTGTAGTATGGTGAAAAATTAAAGAGCCTTCCTTCTCTCCCTGTTCCACTCCCTCCTTGACAAATATTTAAAATTAGAAGAGTAAGCTGGGGTAGGGAAGGGAGTTAAATTAACATCTTGCTACTCCCATAGCATTGGCATCAAAAAAGAAACAAAAGCAAGTTATGTCATGAAGAAGGAAGAAGTAGAGTACTAACTGTTAACAAGAACAGCCCAGAAAAGGGGAAGGGATATTTCTTATGATCTGCTGCTATTTTTCCTGTGCTGAAGTACTGACCTTCAGCCCTGGATTAAAGTAAGAATATTTATACTGTATTATTACAGTGTTTTGCACTTTCAGAGATGTTCTAGCTAGCAACATTGTCAGACACTATAAGAGGGATTGTATATCAGCTTTATGTAATTGAAATTTAAAAGGGATGCTTAAAATTTAAGAAAAAAAATATATATTTGAAATGCAATTTTAGAAGACTTTCTGTATATGTATTAAAAAGCTTTCACATGAATGTGTACTTCACTGGTCAATCAGTCCTAGTATATACTTGAAATCAATGTAGTATCCACATTGGTTCCTTTTTATTTTTCCTCTCTCAGTTTGATACATTCCTTAAATACTGTGTTTTGCTATTCTGAGCTGAAATGCTAAATATAAAGCTGTACCATAAAGCAGGATATTCCGTGTTTGACTGGATGTGCTTGCATTAATAAAAAAAAAACTTGCTTCAACCAGGCGTAACTTTTTCTATGTTTACTTTTCCCTTGCAAACTGATCAAGCCAGAAACCAGCAGCTGAATGAGGTGAACTAACTGTGGAAGGCAATATAGTCACAAAGAACCAACTGGTTACTTAAATTTAAGTTCAGACTTATAAAGATACAGGATGAAATCTCTTCCAACAAAGGCAAGAGCAACACCAAGCCAACAATATGCTGCCACTTCTAACGTGTTCTCTGTAACACTATTGTACGGATTTGATACAGTGTCTCTGCTATGGAATATTTTCATTCTCTCAGTGGAAGTGATTAACAGTTCCACTGTGCAAAAAAAACATGTTGTATGTCCGAGGAGTTCAATTTAATCTTTTCCTCCCACATATTCATACTTTTAACAGAAAAGCAGAGAAACATTTGCTGGCTGCAGCACACTGCAGGGTTTCCTGTAGCAAGATTCTGTTGACATTTCAACACTCCAGGACCTTTGGTTGCAACCACTACCCTTTTTCATGCCGTACTTTACATAAGCAAGGCCATTTCTCCAAGGTCACACAGGGCCTAGATGAGCACAGAGCAGCGAGGGGAATCCAGCTTTCCTAATACACTGCCCCAATGCTACCCACGCTACCTCCTTTCCCAGGGATAGGAGCCTTAAAAAGTGTTAGATCTTGCAAGTGCAGGAACTCTGGAGACCCCACGAGCATTTTTAATTTGTTGAAAACTCTCTGGGGAAATTGCTTTGGTAATGAGACATCCACAACAGACTCCCAGAGTAGAACAGTACTACTTTCAGTCATCACAGCTCATTAGAAAAGATAATGACATTTACCAGCATTAAGAGGAGCAAGCAGACAAGACTCTTCGTGGTGGCCAGTTCACACTCATAATTAATATGCATATTACATCCTTGAAAACTCACTTCCAATTATGTTCCATGCAGTCATTAGGATAAATTAGCTATTTACACAGCCATAAGAGTAAACAATAAAATTGCTTTCCAGGCACTTTACTGCCATTAGAGCACAACGCAGTATGAGGCAGTAACTCAATGCCAGTAAAATATCTTTAGTTACATTAGCAGCAACTTGATTTATCAAGTTAATAGTTCCCAAGAAACAGCTTTATTTCAGCAAACAACTCATGTAGCAAAATTAATTTCATGAGTCAGTTGACAACTGATACCAGCACATCTTTCGGAGGGAAATCAGTAATTCTTCTGAGGACATGCAGACAAATCTTCCCTCTTCAGTCTGCAACATATAATTCTATCAGGGCAACCCCAGCTTCCCAACTAATCAGAGAAGGCTGCAAACTGTATGGAAGCACAGTTTTGTCTTACGGCTTTCTGCAGCCATTAAATAGGGCTGTGTGAACAGTGAGATACTTAGAATTAAAAAAAAAAAAAAAAAAATTGCAGAGAGACTTTATCCTAAACTCTTAGTGCATCCTATTGAGGAATTTTCCAGACCAGTGAGCATGCAAATATTAGCAATAGTTGCTTTCAAATTATTCCTTCTATGTTTGTCCCTGGAAAGGCAGAGAGAGATAACTGAGAGAAAGATACTTTGAGGTTCTGGCGCATCTCTACAGGCCTCTGACATAGGTTCCCTGACACTACAGATATTTTCCTTCCTTTATCGCTCCCCAAGGTGGGCCTTGGGCTTTGGAAGAAAGAGAAACAACATTTAGGGATGTATTTCTGCAGTAATTTGGAGGTACAATCTAAAGTGTAACCATTTCTGTAACATTTGCACAGAAAATGGATGCAGTTGATTGCTGCAAAAGAACTTTGGGATATTAGTTTATTTTCATAATGAAATATTAAAAAGCAATCCATTTCTATATCATGTGGGGAGTGCTGATACAGTGTTAAGACAGATACTCTGCCTTCCTCTCAAGAGGTGTGATGAGGAAGAGTTTCAAACCATCAAGAAATGCAACATTAATTTAAAAATACTAAGCCAATGAATACAGTATGTGATCTACTAAGATGCATACCTTATGATATTAAGAACATTTATACTTCTAACAACTAATAATAATAAAAAGCACTCCTGTATAAAAGGTTCTGTAAGAAACAGTGTTTGGCAAAATCAGTACAGTTACTTGAAACTATTAGTAGGACCTACCAGAAGAAGAAAAAAAAAAAAAAAACACACACCAAACAGACAAAAAAACCCACAAAACACCATCCAAAAACAACAACACAAAAAACCCAGACAAATAAAAACTCCCAAACCCAGGGCTGATACCATGCAGAGGATTCCAGTTAACAACCCCACCTCAATGCAAGGTAGGAAGACCATTTTACAAGATTGAAAGCTGAAAGTGAACACAAACCAAAGTACCAGATTCAAATATCCCCACCTGATCTAGATCAGGAAAGAAAAAACTTTAAATTTAGTCAAAATTTGCTTCCAGTATGTCTAATCTTATCTTTTTCAGATTAAGCACATGTCTTAAAATCAATATAATTCTGTTTGGAGGCAGAAGTCCAGTGAGATCCAACAGAATCTCATCACACAGAAAAGTACTTAACATCTTTTTAATCACTGTCACCTGAGCACATTGAGGCCCCTTCTGATTCTGTAGTATATTAAATTC